CCCCCCGTAGTGTAGGTGCGGCCTGAGTCTGTGAAGCCACTGTACTCTGGTATTTCCAACTGCTTTGATTATGTCAACAGTTATCTCATCTTCATCAGCTGTTTTATTATTGTCTAATTCAGTCCTCCTTCTGCCTCCTCTGTAGAGATCAATACCTTTTGAGGCTTCCCCATAATTGTCAGCAGTGCTTGCACTTGCAACTCTCTCTTCTCATATTTGGAAATATTTTTTCTATATCTCTACCATCTCATTAGGGTTAGTCACCATGCAGTTTCCATCCTTCACATACAAAGATTTCTTCATATCTTGTGTTTCCTTGTTCCTTTTTTTGGCCACTGCAAAAAACAATTTCCTCCCGTCTTCCTTCAGCTTTATGTATAATTCCTCTTCAGCCTCCATTCTTGCCTTAGCAACTGCCTTTTTAGACTTTTTTTTTTTGCTTGTATCTACTTTAATTACAAAAAATAAATAAAAAGGAGCAACAGCATTTGGGGTTGGCTCAAAAGCAAGAAGTGCTTAAAGAAGGCTTTCAGTACATCCTTGTTAAAATTCTCTACTGAACTGTGGAGGGAGTGCTAGGGTAATTTCCTTGCATCTAATGAAATTCACTTCTTCTCTGGATACAGATAAATCATACCTATCAGAGAGATACTGGGACTCATGATGCTTTAGAAAAAGATTTTTTTTTTCTTTTTGCCTTTGAAATGAGACTGTTGTATACTCCAAGTTCTTGAAGTATTTATTTCTCTTTGGCACAAATAAATTTACGCAGATGTCATTTGCAGCTGATTTTTCCTGTGTTAATTTAAGAAAACTCAAGGGATTTGCATTTTTATATAGTGATGTGGGCACCAAAATATTTTTTGGGGAAGTAGCTAGGTACATAACATAAGACAATGTAAACCATAACATATTCCCCAATGAATTTATATAAAACAAGTCAAATAGTTACTATAAGGAAATCCCCTAAGGATTATGGAAGTATGTGAGACTGACTTGCAGCAATGATTCCCAATACATTGAATATGAACAAACGTATAGATTTAAACCAATCTAAAATGGTACTAGTAGACAGGTCAATAGTAAATTCTAAATGGAATAACTAAGTTGGCCCTTGCTTGTCAAAAATCAGCTGCAGGACAGGAGAATGCTCCAGCTTAAGTGCATCGCAGCTGAAAGATTAAAGGTGTTAGAATCACATTGCTACCTCTATTAACTGATTACATATACAGAAAAGGAAATTTAAAGATGGGATGGATGTTCTTGGAAGAGCTGGGTCAGTGTATTCAAAAGTATTGAGAGCTGGCTGAGTAAGCTGAGAAAAGAACAAGATAGGTGAGCGACAGATCTGATTCTGATATGTTTGCTGCCATTTAGACAAGAATCAAGAAGACAGGGTTAGCACTTAACATCTGAATGCTTGTTACCCTCCTTCATATTGTTTGTGAAAATCTGAGAAGTTGCAGATGGCAGCGAAGTCAAAAGAACGTCAGAACTCTGCAGAGCACTGTAAAAGGTCTTTTGCCTTGATGTACAAGTAGCTAATTTTATCCATAAAATAATAAAAGGAATCTCACTACAGTTCCATGGTGAGTGGCAGGGGGGACGACACCAAAACTATGCTGGCTATATGGGGGCTGGGAGAATCGTTTTAACCTTTGTTTTAGGGGTTCTTTCCCAGGGTGGTGGTATATAATTAATACATGGACAATACACTTAAATCTTGAACCCACTTTTAGGATATTCCATATCTGATTATGAACTAAATGTAGACCCAGATCTTTGGCTATTGTAAACTGGCAGAGCTGATTTGCATGATTATAGGATGTGATCCAAGTAGTTCTTGTTTTCTTGTTTTGTTTGTTTTTGCTTAGTGTACACTTTCTGCTATTTTTGTGGTCACTTGAGTTGACTTAGATTATCTTTGATCCAGGGAAAAGACCTATCAACAAACTGGATTCTTCAGATTCCTTTAAACTGAATGATCCATTTCAGCCTTTCCCAGGCTGTGACGTTCCCAAACAACAAGAAGATGATCTATTTTGTGACCCATTTGCTCCCAGCAATATTGGTAAAGAGACGGACACCAGCAATTTTGCAAACTTCAGTGCTGTAAGTAGGTTCTTTTATATTTTTGTTTCTTGAGGTGAGGAGACATTTAATAAAACTTACTGGAATGATTCAATCACAGTAAAATCTTCAGATTTATTTTAAAATTACTAAAACGTGTCCTCAAAACTGTGTAATCCCTTTTCTTAAGGGCTATAATTAACTTTTAAAAGGCTCAAAATATTTTTCAAGCTGTTACCTACATAAGAAGCTTGTAATTAAGGCTGGTATAATCCATTCATTAAGATAAAAATGAAACAATGCAGACTATTGTTGGTATTGTCAGGTCATATTGATTGCATAACTGTGTTAAGGTTTTCTCTGAAGGTTTCCTGGCTTTTACAAAGCAGTCATCAGATAATTTATGTATATTGCCTCGGTGTTCTCGTTGACATCTGTTTAAATATTCACAAGTTCGAATTATATGGCATAGACTAGACCCGCATTGGGCAGCCCCAGTTCCCCCCGGGCTCTAGAGCTCCGACTCAGGTCCAGCGGAGCGTCGACTCAGACCTCTCCGGCTGAAGTCCGCATGCCTTCGACACTGGAGGCCCTGCAGGCGGCCAAAGACATTATGACTTTGCAGGTGCCTGGGGCACCGCCAGCACCCGACCCCGCTCTAGAGGCAAGCCACCACTGGGCTCTCGACAGCTGACGCCGACCCAACGCAGATCCCGGCCAGGGGACTGCTCTCGGGCCCGCTCATCGCTCAGTGTCCTGTCTGGATGCAGCCTCCACTCTCGTCGCCCTCCAGGTTGTCTGGTCGGGTGCTGTCGGAGCGGAGTTCCAGGCACCGCTCCACGCCAAGTACAGGGTATCGGCGGGACCGACACCGTAGACGCTCCCACTCTTGGCGGAGCTACCGGAGCCGTTCCCGGCACGGACGCCATCGCTGGTCACGCTCCAGCTCTCGCGCGTCGAGGCACTGTGCCCATGACTCCCGATGGGGATCGCCAGCTCCGCGTCGTCGCGGATCCAGGCGTCGAAGTGTCTCGAGGAGTAGCAGCTCGAGGCGGCACCGTTCCTCAACGTCGGAGTCCCGGTCCCGTGGCGGGCGTCATTCTCGGTACCACTGCGCGTACCGCTCGCACGGCACCGATAGGTCGTTGGCAACCCCGACCTCAACCCACACGCAGCGCCCTATGATCCAGCAGGGCCAACCCGACCACCTGGTGCCACCGGTGCCGCACCAGAGACAATGGCAAGGGTCCCTGTGGCAAAGCCAGGGGTGCCAATGGACCCGCTGGCCCCCCGTGCACGCCCAGCAAGGCCCTCAGTCGATAGCGGAAGCATCGGAGGCTCCTTCAACCAGACCTCTGAGGGATAGATCGGCTGGGTCACGGCTCCTCGACACCGCATGAGGAGTCCGATCAAGGGGTAGATCCCGTGGCAACGGCTGACGTGCAGAGCCCAGTACCAGCCCTTGCCCCACACCGGATGACAAGATCGCAGCCCCACCCCCCTCCGTACCGCAGGAGGATTTCAGGGCTCATCAGGAGCTGCTAAAGCGAGTAGCATCCAATCTCCATCTCCAAGCTGAGGAGATGGAGGGACCTCGCTGTTTAATGTGCTCTCATCCTCGGCACCGGGCAGAGTGGCCCTCCCGGTCCATGAGGGGGTGGCCAACATCTCCAGTGCTCTCTGGCAAACACCAGCCTCCCTTGCCCCGATATCGAGAAAGGCAGAGCGCAAATACTTCGTGCCCACAAAAGGGCACGAATACCTCTATACCCACCCGGCCCCCAACTTCCTAGTGGTAGAGTCCGTGAACCACAGGGAAAGACAAGGTCAACCAGGACCCGCACCCAAAAATAAAGACTCTAAAAGATTGGACTCGTTTAGCAGGAAGCTTTATTCGTCTGCCAGCTTCCAGCTCCGGGTGGCCAACCACCAGGCCCTCCTCAGTTGATATGAGTTTAACTTGTGGGGGTCGCTGCCAAAATTCGAGCCCTCCCTTCCGGAGCGTGAAAGAGAGGATTTTAAGGTGCTGGTGGAAGAGGGCGCCGCCGCCACAAAGGCCGCTCTGCGGGCGGCATCGGATGCAGCCGACACAGCTGCTCGGTCCATGGCCTCGGCCGTGTCCATGCGCAGGGCGTCGTGGCTACTGCTGTCTGGGCTCTCCGTGGAGGCGCAGTCTGTGATGCAGGATCTTCCCTTTGATGGCAAGGACCTGTTCGCGGAACAAACAGACGTGAGGTCCATGGCGTGAAGGACTCACGTACCACCCTTCAGACCCTCGGGCTCTATGTCCCGCCTAAGGAGAAGCCTAAGGTGCAAACCTCCGTCCCTGCGCCCCAGCCGAGATACGAGCCCGCCTACAAGAGGTACAAAACTCAAAAGAGGTGACCTCAGAGGCAGTCTCGCTATGCCCCGCAGCCTGGCCCTCCAGGGGCAAGCAGCAGGGCAAGAGGCGGTTTTGACTGGTTGCAGGAGGGTACCCGGGGGACCCCCGAGAGGACCCTCGTACCAATAAAGTTTGCTTTCAGCAACCGCTTGTCTGTGTTCCTTACCGAATGGTCCCGGATAACATCGGACCAATGGGTCCTCAACACTATTTCCCGGGGTTATACGCTACAATTTGTCTCGCCCCCGTCCTCTCTCCTCCCTCCCCCAGACGGCAGGGGGACCCGTCACATTTACCCAGGCTACAGCAGGAAGTGGGTCGGCTCCTCAGCTTGGCAGCCGTGGAGAAGGTTCCGTGGGAATTCCGGGGAAAAGGGTTTTACTCCTGTTATTTCCTGATCCCCAAGGCGAAAGGGGGGCTCAGACCCATCCTGGATCTGCGAGGCCTCAATCGGTTCATGGCAAAATGCCGGTTCTGCATGGTCTCTCTGGCATGTATCATACTCTCTCTGGACCCTGGCAACTGGTATGCGGCCCTGGACCTTTAGGGCGCATACTTCCATATCCATATATTCGAGGGGCACAGACGCTTCCTCCGCTTTCTAGTGGGGCAGGACCACTACCAATTTATGGTCCTCCCCTTTCGCCTGTCCACCACGCCCAGGGTATTCACGAAGTGTATGGCGGTGGTGGCAGCCTTCCTCAGACGCCGAGGCATAGAGATATTCCCCTACTTCGACGACTGGTTGCTCAAAGGCACCTCGCGGTCCCAGGTACAGAACCACATGGACCTGCTCTTAGCCACGTGTGCCAACTTAGGCCTTCTAGTAAACGAGGCCAAGTCGACACTGGTCCTGGTGCAACGCATAGAATTCATAGGCGTTCTCCTGGATGCCTCCAAGGCCACAGCCTCCCTTCCCCTGGACAGGTTCCAGACCCTGAAGGGTCTTATAGTCTCGGTCACGGAGTTTCCCCCATCACCACAGCCAGGGCATGCCTGCGGCTCCTGGGCCACATGGCGGCGTGCACTTATGTGGTCCGCCACGCCAGGCTTTGGATGAGGCCCCTCCAACTCTGGTTGGCCTCAGAGTTCTCCCAGGCTCGGGACAAACTGGACAAGGTCCTCACAGTACTGGCACGGGTGATCGCCACGCTACAATGGTGGTCCTGCCCGGCCAATATGCTTCAGGGAATTCCCTTCCGGGACCCGACCCTGTCACTAGACCTGGTGTCCGACGCATCGGACCTGGGCTTGGGGGCCCACGTAAGGAACTCTCAGATCCAAGGGATCTGGTCAGCCGTGGAGCTGTCCCTTCACATAAACGTCAGGGAACTCAGGGCGATACGCTTAGCCTGTGTGGCGTTCAGCTCACAGCTGCACGGCAAGGTGGTCAGAGTACTCACGGACAACACCGCCACGATGTTTTACATCAACAGCCAAGGCGGGACGAGGTCCTCGGCGCTCTGCCTGGAAGCCCTCAGCCTCTGGGAGTTCTGTATAGCCCACGACATCTCCCTAAAGGCTTTCCACCTGCCAGGCGTCAACAATATGCAGGCCGATCGCTTGAGCAGGAGTTTCTCCTCCCAACACGAGTGGTCGCTCCACTCGGAGGTCACTCACCAGCTCTTCCAAGCGTGGGGCACTCCCCAAGTAAACCTGTTTGCGACCCAACAGAACCGCTGCTGCCACAGGTTCTGTTCCAGAGGGAGGGTGGGGAGGAACGTGATCCCAGACGCCTTCCTCCTGTCATGGTCGGGTCAACTCCTTTACGCCTTTCCCCCATTTCCCCTCATTGCCAAGGTCCTGAAGAAAGTGAAAACGGACAAGGCACGCGTCCTCCTGATCACCCCAGCTTGGTCCCGGCAGCATTGGTACGGGACCCTCCTAGGCTTACTCGTGGCCCCTCTGCGGCCATTGCCGCTCTGCCCGGACCTACTCTCCCAGAACCAGGGCCGCCGCCTCCACCCCAATCTGGCCACCCTCCATTTGACAGCGTGGCTGATTAATGGCTAAATGTGGAGGAGAGAAGGTGTTCAGAAGGGGTCAGGCGTGTCCTCCTCGAAAGTAGGAAGCCATCCACGCGCCAAGCCTACCTGGCGAAATGATCCAGGTTCTCCAGGTGGACGGGTGAGCGGGGTGCTTCCCCAATGTCTGCCCCGCTCCAACTTATCCTTGAGTACCTTCTTCACCTTAGGACTCAAAGCCTGGCCCCCTCGTCTGTCAGGGTGCACCTGGCGGCGATTTCAGCGTTCCATCCGCCGGTCCAGGGCTGTTCGGTTTTCTCCCATGCCATGACTGGTCGTTTCCTCAAAGGGCTGGACCGGTCCTTTCCTTATGCTAGAGCCCCTGTCCCTCAATGGGATCTAAATTTGGTGCTATCCCGCCTCATGGAGCCCCCGTTTGAACCCCTGGCCACATGCTCATGGTCTCATCTTTCCTGGAAGGTAGCCTTCCTCGTGGCCATCACGTCAGCCCAGTGGGTCTCGGAGCTCAGGGCCCTGACCTGCGACCCCTCTTACACAGTCTTTCACAAAGACAAGGTTCAGCTCCGCCCACACCCTGCATTCCTCCCTAAGGTGGTCTCCGCTTTTCACATGGGCCAGGACATCTTCCTACCTAACCTCTGTCCTAAGCCGCATGCCTGTAACGAGGAACACCGCCTCCATACGCTCGATGTGCGCAGAGCTCTGGCCTTTTACCTGGATCGGACTAAGCCGTTCCGCAGGCCTTCACAACTCTCTGTTGCTTTGGCCGAGCGCATGAGGGGCCAACCGATCTCCACCCAGAGGCTTTCCCGGTGGATTACATCGTGCATCCACACTTGCTACAACCTAGCAGGGGTTCCCGCACCACCTGTCGTAAGGGCTCACTCGACAAGGGCTCAGGCCTCGTCGGCTGCCTTTGTGGCCCATGTCCCTATCCAGGCCATCTGTAGAGCCACTACCTGGTCCTCAGTACACATGTTCACGTCGCACTATGCGATCGTCTCCCACACCAGGGATGACGCTGTTTTCGGTAGGGCTGTGCTTCAGCCAGGGAATCTATGAACTCCTACCCACCTCTATCACACGTAGCTTGTAATCACCTACTGTGGAATACACATGAGCAAGCACTCGAAGAAGAAAGGACAGTTACCTGTTCCGTAACTGGCGTTCTTCGAGATGTGTTGCTCATGTCTATTCCACATCCTGCCCTCCTTCCCCTTTGTCGGAGTTGGTCCGGCAAGAAGGAACTGAGGGTGGGGGGAGCACGCGGCTCCCCTTATAATGCACTATAGTGGTGCCACTCCAGGGGTTGCAGCAGTGCTCCCCCTGTGGGTAGTGCTGAGGGAAAAACTTCCGGCACCGGTGCATGTGGCGAGCACGCACACCTACTGTGGAATAGACATGAGCAACACATCTCGAAGAACGCCAGTTACGGAACAGGTAACTGTCCTTTAGCAGCTGCAGAAGCATTTGGCTAGTACTGTACTCCTCTGCAAAAGCATATTTTGATGACACTATCTGTACAGTTTATTCTGCAGTCACTGCCACTGAGAAAAATATCTTTAAAAGAGCATCACGCTGTTAAATGAGGGTAAAGCTAGTTGTCCCACAGTGCCAGATGTATCCTGCAGTGTAGGAGAGACTACCAATTTGTTCACATCTGATTCTAATATATCAGATATATTGTTTATAGTGATTGCTGCAGTAGCATTGTTTTCTCTGTCCAAATTTAGGACTCAGTTTTGTTCAGTAGGGTTGCTCATGTGCTTAAAGTTAAGCATGTGCTTGAGTAATTTGCATAGGTCAGTGTGTTTAGCAAATTGCCAGATTGTACCTTTAAACTGGTGTTCCTTGGTGGTAATTGAACAGGTGGTATTTTTCATCAAACAGTTAATCTTCAGGACTGTGTTAATGCAATTCTTATTTAAACTACAAATGAAATTGTACCAGGCTACTCTTAAAACACATTTTTCAGCACAGAGGCAAATTCTAAAACTACAATAAATACATATAATATTTTGGAACAGTTCAAATGCCCTCAAATTCTGAGACTTGAATTGTGCAGTTACATTCTGATTAAGTCCAGATATGTTTATCTTTTTAAAATTGCAGTATCCTTCTGAAGAAGACATGATTGAATGGGCTAAGAGGGAAAGTGAGAGAGAAGAAAAAGAGAGACTTGCAAGATTAAAACAACAAGAGCAAGAAGACTTGGAGCTGGCTATTGCACTCAGTAAATCTGAAATATCAGAAGCATGAAGATTAAAATAACCGTGTCTTATGTCAACTGTTTTGTCCCTTTTCCTGAATACTTAACCTATTTAAAATGTTAATCAGAAGCTACCTATGAATAGGGAAGTACGAAAAGTTTTAAATTCCTGCAAGTGTGATTGAATATTCACCTTTATATTTTTGTCCCATTCTGATTTGTAAGTTTCCTAAATTTCTTCATTAAGTTTATCAGACAGCTAATAGAGTGCTGCTCCCATGTGTATTCTCCTTGAGCTTTTAGCCTGTGCTATTTTTATTCTGTAAACCCAGGACACCAAAGTGTCTTTATGTAATACAGAAAGATAAGGCAGACTTCATCTTCTTAAAGAAACTGGTCGTCATTCTGGTGATCTGTGAAGATATCTTCATGAACACTTGTAATTCTGTTAGACTGAAGTTCAGAGACAGGCAAATATTGTCTCAATCAAATTCCTTGGTGAAAGGGGCATAGTATTGAACATAAAGGTGAATGCTTGCATTTCTATATTTTGTACCCATTGGGTACAGGGCTGAGTCATTTATAAAAAGAAATGTTAACAAAAAACATTTTAGCTTCTGTACAGATTGTGTGCTGTCTCATAAAGAAGCTAGAGCCTTTTACTATATATTACTGTATAAAAGGTGTGTGGACATTTCTGCTGAATTCCATCTTTAGTTATTTATAGATTTGAATAGTCCCCACTCATTTTAGCATTTATACTCTCCCAGAAGACATGTTTCAGGAAAGTAAAGCACATTTCCTACCTGTAAATAAATCAGTTTATAATGCAGGCAATGAGACTATGGTTTAAGTATAATCTGTCAGCAACTATGATTGAGTAGAAGATGAACATGGCAATTACTCTGCCTCACTGACCCCTTCCCACCAGTTAGTTATTTGAAACCTTTTGTACTTTTTCAGAGCAGACTTTAGTAATGCTGGAACTGTAGAGTGCTTTATTTTGTAGGTATACATATGTATTTTCTTTTTAATGAAGGTTCTACTGCTGGACTTGAAATTTAATTGATAATATTCAGTGTGAAAGTGGGAAAGATTGTGTATCTTATTGAAACCTTAATTGCTTTTTTGCATGGTCATGAGGTTGGCAGACAGATCACATATTGTGGGTGGGTTTCTGTTGTAACCTAGAATAACTAAATGGATAATTCACATGAATTTACTGTTGGCCAAAATGTCTCAAATTGTGGAAGCCCCACTGCTAATTGAGCCAATATACAGCTAAACTGGCAATTTGACAAGTTTGACTTTTGAAGTAGGATAGAGAAGAGAGTAGGATGCATAAAGGCATAGTTTAACTTTATACAACAGTCTTTTTCTATACATGTAACTTATTGAATGCCAACTGATAGTTGCACCTTATTAAAAAAAACTGATTTATAATTCTTTATGGTCACTGAGTCAAAGTAGGTTGATAAAATGTTAATGAAAGTAACTTATTGCCTGTTGTGTAAATGTAATCCATTCTGCAGAATGTCAGATTCATTTAAGTCATTCCCAATGATGCTGCTTTCACTCTGTACACGTACAGCTGGACTGCAGCAGCATACAATCGATTTTCTTTCTTGCACTTTTTAATTTGGTGTATTTCTCCCGGAGATTAGAAGTGTCTCAAGACAAAAACACTTGTGTGAAGTAAGGGATGACTCATTAGCCACACTTTGGATTTGTTTAAAGAGTTCCAGTTAGCTACGGTTGTTGCTGCGAGAGCTTTTGAAGAGGGCAGTTTTCATTCTTTCAGGAAAATGGGTGACTTGACTTGGACAACTTTTTTCTTTTGCACTGGGAACGAGCATTTGAAACACCTGCTCAAAAAAGATATCTTAAAGAAACCTCATGCAAGTATTAAATATCCATAACTTATCTATACAACCTTTGTAATAAGTGTACACTAATCTTGCATATTGTATGCTTAACTGGACTACACAGATTCTTATCTTTTGTTAAAAATGTATACTCAGTGGACCAATACAATATTATGTGTATATATTATATATATTCATGCTTTCCTGTGTGGAATTTAAAGTTTTGAGTCATTTGATGTTACATTTCATGTTACTGACTCTGACTACAGTACCTTTATTTGAAGATTACCAATAAACCACTGCTGTGAGCTAAATGGCATTACTTACGAAGTTTAACTAGCTTTTTAAAACTTGGCCATATGGGGTTAGCCTCTATTTATAGACTTTTCTTTTGTTTAAAAATTCTAACAGTAGCCTGTAATTATGAAGAAATAAAGTTTAAATACATAAGTAAATTGTCTGTCTCTTCAAAGTGGTGGCAATGAACAAAAAAATCCCGTGTAGACAGAACATAAACTGTTCAGATCTATAGTGTGAAAGGAAAGTGAAAATTTTGACCAAAGGTTCAAACTTGGGCATCTAAAGTTAGCGTCCTAAATCTGTTTAGGCATCTAAATAGAAGCAACCTGGCATTTCAAAGCTGCAGGACATCTCCTATTGAGCTCCAGTGCAGGTTCAGATTGATCCGCACCTCAAAGTCCAGGCCACTTCTGTTTTTCTAAGGTGCTAACCAATCCCAGCCACCGTGGAACTCAATAGGAGTTGCAGGTATTCAGCAGCTTAGAAGCAGCCTGATTTTCAATTTAGGTGCCTAAACATGGATTTTAGGTGACCAGGCTTGAACATTCACCTGCTAAATGTTATAACCTGTATCTGAGACTCACTGAAAATGGAATATATAGACTAGCAGAATCATAATTAGACTTTTGTTTTTGACCCAGTTCTGTTATTTTTTCCTCCCAGTTTTTATTTACTATCAAATGGTTAAAGAATTTTTGAAACAACTCCACTGATAACCTTTTTTGTTGGTGGCAGAACTCTGAAAATATGATTCACTGGCATCTGGGATGTTTACTTGTAAGTCACAGAAGCCCTTGGACTAAAAAAATCTGAAAAGAGGATTTTGCTTTATCTGTTTGAATTGGTCTCATGACAGTTTCCATCACGGAAATGATTCGGAGTGCCAGACAGTGAGCCAGGCTCAGCTAACATGCCTAGGAAAGACCTTACAAAAATGAGTTGCATCAGGGCTGAACATTCCTTTCTCATTCTTAGTCTTCCAAAAACTAGAGACTAAGAGGTTTTCTACTGGCAGTAATTTGCTACAAAGATAGGTATTGCAAGTTGTATGTGGCTTTTAAGGTAAATGCAAAAATATCTTCCTTGACATAGAAAATGACAGTCTGCCTGAGTGCATCTCCTAAAGTTTTGACAAATAAACTGATGATAAATCTGGTGGCTCAATGGAGATGGCTAAGTGGAGAAAGAGGAAAAGGAAGAAGACTTGTCATCTTATGTGCATGGATCTGCAAACTGAGAATATCAAAACATACAAGGACCTTGGAGAATGTCATGTTTTTAACTTTCATTAATATGGATGAAGTATCTGGTTTTCCGTTCCTACTCTGTACTGTACTCAAAGGCAAGAAGAATCCACATTGCAGACATTCCTATCTTAAGCTCTCTCCTAGTCCAGCTCCATCTAGCTGTTGGAAGAAGCCCACAGCACACCAGTCAAGAAAGCAGCTGTCTGGAGTAAGTTGCCCATGCTTGTACTGTTCATTTAGAGATTTGCTCCAACCCTTTTGCTCCAATAGTGCTGGAGGTAGTTTTTAAAACTCCCCAACCAGAGATCAAAGTCCAAGACTATTTGCCCCCAAAGCTTAATAAATCTTAGTGAATCAGTCAGTACTGACAGCCCTAAGTGTATCAACAGACAACTAAATGTTTTGCCATCTACCTTTTATCAACTCCATAGAGGTCCACTCAGACCGGCTGTTAGTTTTCTTCCTTTTATTCCCCCATACTACTGAACTTTTACTATCCTTCCACCTGGTGAGCAAGCTTTGCCTTCAGTGCTGCTATTCAGAAACTCCTACAGACTGTCTCTTTACGATAAATAGAACACTAAGATTTACTTATCACATTCTGTGCCTCTCTCTCCATAACCAGTCGGGAAAACTAGGTTCAAAATAACTTTATTTAATGTCCACTCCCCACCCAAAATATTGCGCTCGCTCATGCACTCTCTCTCTCCCCATATATGTATAGAAATACACTAAAACCAAAGAAAGTGGCTAGTCACCTTACCTTACTTGATACCATTGAGTTTTCAATGCCAATCTCCTTCCTCCAAGGTTCCTTGATAGTGTTTACTGGATTCAAAGAAAAACACAGCATTTCTTTGACCTTGAGTCAGAAATTCTTATCCAATGCCTGGATAATCGTTGGTCACTAGCCAGTTGAGTTTCAGATGCAATGCTCCTGTTTTATAGAGAAGTTGCTTCAAAATCAAGAGAACAGTGGTAATAGTGAGCTATTAATACCTAATTTTCCAAGATTAGGTGGTATCTTATTTAACTTCGATGCATGGGATCCCAAAATCAGCATAAGGAATGCTCACAATTCAGTGACCACCACCAAATGTTGACAAGCTAAGGGGAGTGAGAAAAATAGCAGTAAGTGTGCTTTGTAAAAGAATTAACTGGTTTGCAGTGCCTTCACTTTGCAGAATTAAAAACTACTTTCATAGTTGAAACTTTTTGCACCCATGACACCTTGTGATATAGTTTTGACTGAAGGAACAGTAATCCACACTGTGTAGAGTCAAGCACAGGAGTTTATTACGCACAGCGCTGGCAGTGTGTCACTTTGCTTATTAGGCTCAGAGACACTGCAAAACAATTAGTTACAATAGATTATATATGGTGCTCATTGGGCGGAGAGAAGCGACAGAGATGGGTTTTCCCAAACCCCTGGATCGGTTCTAACAGCAAGACAAGATAAGCACAATAAGCCAGTGGTCTAAAACAGGGTTTCCCAAACTTGGGACGCCGCTTGTGTAGGGAAAGCCCCTGGCGGGCCGGGCCAGTTTGTTTACCTGC